AAACATAGCTGGACTGAATTGGCATTGTCTCTTGGAGTTCCTTGGGCTAGGCCTGACAAGTTTGATTCAAGGGAGACTTGGATTTATTGGAGGGGCTCGGGGCGAGAACACCTGTCCAAAGTGCAAGGTTTGTTCTCCAATTGCATCAGCTAAAAGATCCTTGGAGATCAGGCCCAGGAAAGTTCTCTCTCTAGTCGGAGGACATTGTTTCGGGCTGTTTAGATGGTTACTTAGCCTACTCTGGAGCCAGCGATTCTGTGGTTGCTATAGGTGGAGCACATTCTGTGAATGTACTCATTGTGGTTCATCACTTACGGCTTATGCTTTAAGGTTATATATGAACTGGGGCACTATAACTGGATTCACACGTTATGCTAAGCGGTGGCTTGCTTAACGATGACATACTGATTTAACAACAGTGATCATAGAACCATGGGATGGAAGGGTTAGAAAGTACTTTGAAGATCATTTAGCCCAAGTGCAAGAATCGTCTAGCTCAGCGCAAGAATCCATTGCTGCACTGGTTGGCTTCACATGATATGCAAACCTGCTAACCATGGCTGATGAGCTACAGAGCCAGGATTCATTTAACATGCTAAACCACACTAAGCACCCTTTCGGCTTAGCATATTGTGTGAACCAGGCCTCTAACTTATTCAACAAATCATGGAGAGGATAATAATTAGGAACAATTGTGGTTTATGGTTTGAGATGTGAACAGGTGACTGTGGTTGGTCCAACAACAAGCCATGGTTTGGAACAAACCATACTTTAGTTAGCATAATGCAAAGGACCAAGCTGTGTGAAGCAGCTCCAGTTGTTTGATAGAGTCAGCCAATGTGGATTCCTGAAGTAAATGGATTCTGTAAATGGAATCAACAGCGTTGGACAGTGTTCCTCAACCATGGCCACTTTCAGATGTGTGGATTTCAACTCCCAGAATTCCCCAGCCAGCAACGAATTCTGGGAGTTGAAGTCCACAGATCTGAAAGTGGCCAAGGTTGAGAAACACTGGTGTAGGGCAAGGTGCTGAGAGGACAGAGACTCTTTTGGGAGTGTATTAGTATAAAAATAAAGCCAATATATAAATACCTCCAGCTCTGAATTGAACAAATATCCTGGTCACCACAGGAGATCAGGAATTCTATGAAGGCGAGTGCATAGAATTCCTTGTGTTGGGCTGGTAGAATAGGGACAGGCCTAACCTTTTCTTCTTCTTCCCTGCCATGTGCCTCTTTATCAGGGTGAAAAATAACCACGCAGAGCTTTTGGAGAAAAAATATAGAAATGTGTTGGGCCAACTCTACGGTGAAAGGGTGAAGGCATTGAGGCAAAGGCATTGCCGTAAGGGCTGTGGTAGCCCAGGTGAGAAGTAGCTGCTTGGTTTAAGAGCAGGCAATGCTTCTCTTTAAAATATTAGCGCTAGGATCAATTGTGCGGGCCAGAAGAGTAGAGTACTTTAAATTAATGGAGCAGTTAACCATTTTATTCACCAATAATGTGGTTTTTTCCCCACCAGCTGCCTTTGCATTTCTTTAAAGCTTTCAACGTCTCTTGTGTTAATTCTGGGCATTGGTGCAGTTAATTACAAGCTCAAAAGTGTATTTGCTTCCTCAGCTGCTAAGTCCCTTCCTGCTTTCTCTCCCTCCCACCCCCATCATGGCCTGTTTATCAGCAGTCAGTAGCAAAAGGTTTAATAGGCAGCTTGAATTGCTGCAGAATCTATTGAAGCACGGGCAGAGCGCCACACCGTTTCTCGCCCAGGCTGATAAAAAATGTGACCGAGCCAGGAAAAAGAGTTTCAGCTGGCTTGGGGACAGAATGATTGAGGGCAGGGTGGCAAAGGGTTGTGTCCAAGGCTTTGTGTAGAGGAGAGGCTGTTGTAGCTCTGTGTGTGCTGCTAGCACATCTGCCGAGAGACCATCCTTGAGGATGAGCTACAGATAATGCAAAATGTTTTGAGAAGATGTTTACCTGTGGCCACTCAGATACACAAGCTTGATCTTAGGACAGTCATGCATATCTTCTGTCCACTTTGGGCTGCGGTGGGCTTTGAGCGGTGTGTTGGGAGGGTACATCCAAAGCAGACAGGACCAGGCCCCTAATGGGTCAGATTTGGGGAAAGATGAGGATTTTAAGAATCAAAAGAGATGCCTTAATCCAGTGTTTCTCAAAGTGTGGTCTGACAACCCCTGGAGGCCCCCCAAGACCCGCTCAGGGGTCCGCAAACATCAACATTATTTGCCAGCCTATTTTGAAGAATAATACAATATTAAAATCCCATCAAACCATCGTGAGGAGCAGTAGGGGTGGCGAATGTGTCGATTTTAATTTTTAATACGATAAATGTCGATAAATAGAACCCATACAAACAAAAGGTCTCCATAATTTTTAAAAGTGGGAAAGGATCCTGAGAGCAAAAAGTTTAAGAAGCACTGCCTTAAGCTTCTCCAAAGTTGAAAGCACCCATTTCGCCTTTTGAAAGGTACCCAGACTAGAGGTGTGCAAACATAGTGAGATCGAAACTCAGATGGGCTGTTCTGATCTCATCAGAAGTATCCCAGCATCCAGTAAAGTTGTTCTAACCTTACTGGAAGCGCTCTTCAGTTTTGAAACGGGTCACTCCAGCTGCGTCACAGAGGTTTTGAACATCTGGTTTCGAGATTCAATGACTTTGGCCAGATCAGAAGGGCATCTTCTTATGGTCAAAGCAGCCTGTTTTCAACTGGAACGTTTCAGAGTTTGGAGTATTTCAGGCTTGAAACATTTTGCATGCCTATACTTCAGTTTGCACCCTATCTTAAATCATGTGCTCTAGCTTAAACATAGATTGTATTGTTGTTCAGTCATTAAGTTGTGTCCGACTCTTCGTGACCCCATGAACTATATCACACCAGGCCTTCCTATCCTTCACTGCCTCCCAGAGTTTGCTCAATTTCATGTTCATTGCTTCGGTGATGCTATCTAACCATCTCATCCTCTGCCGTCCTCTTC